TGTATGAGGGTTTTAGTTGCTCCACATCCTCTCCAATATTTGGTATTGCAATCTTTTTAATTTTAGCCATTCTGGTGGGTGTTCAACCTTAAATTTGAACCACTGATATTACTCTATATTAAATGAATCTATAAGTAAATAAATTATGTAATTAATTATAATATAATTAAAATATTACACAGATCCTCTTGCGTATTGTTGGTTCCTAACTATGATCAGCTCTCTGTTGTAGCTCTTAAACTAAAGTAATACTTTTTTTCTTTTCTCAGTTGTCACAGGTAGTACTGATGGAATCGGAAAGTCATACGCACAAGAGGTAGGTAATTTTCAGGATCTTTCTTTTTGGTATAAAAAAATAAGAACAAATAGGGAACGATCTCTTACAGTAGTTTTGACATTCACAGTTAAAAACACAAATTTAATGTTATGTAGTATGATAGATGTTCTACCTTGTCAGAAATACCAAGTTTATTTATTTATTTATTTATTTTTAAAACAAATGTTAGTGTGTATTAAGTACAAAGCTTTCTATTCTGGTGAGTTGGAATTGTGAAGAATTTAGTGTAACTTCATTTATATTGTATAGGTATAGCCAGCCCTCAGTTTTTAAAGCTGTTTTGGACTTTTTTCCAAAAGATAGAAGTATTATTATACAGTGGTTAAGTTTCCAGGGTAGCCTATGGCATCATTTTCACAGAAGGGTGCTGATTGACAGAAAGACATTGACAGACACAGCAAAGGATTTAGTCAAGTCTTCTCTAATGTAATTAAATGATGAGAAAGAGTAATAGTTTGGAGACCATTATACAAAGCAGAAGCTTGACAGTACCCCTTAGGCAAGCTTCTCCACCTTCCAGTCATCATGAGGGCACCTACAGCCTTTTATATTCCTTGATTGCTATGGAGACCCCATCAGATCCATTGAGACTCTAAGTTGTCATTCCCAAAGGGTATTTTTTTTTTTAAATCCTTTGTTTTCCCAGCCTTATATTTTGACAAATACCAAAACTACAAAAAAGTTGCAAAAAGAATACAATGACACCCATATACCCTTTAGCTGGATTCACCTATTGTTAACATTTTGCCACATTTAAGTTTTATTATTATCATTATTTAGCCGGACCATTTGTGAGTTAGTTACATAGATCATGACATTTCACCTGTAAATATTTCAGTATGAATCTTCTAAGAATAAGAGCATTCACCCTTATAGCCATAATACAGTGGTCACACCTAGGAAATTTAGCTGGGTGGTGCAAACAGTTCCATGCTTGGCTGGTTCAAGTCCACCGTGAGGTGCTGTGGAAGAAAGCCCTGGTGATCTGCTTCCAAAAAATCAGCCATTGAAGACCGTGTGGAGCACAGTTCTACTCTGACACACATGGGCTTGCCATGAGTCAGAATCGACATGATGCCAGCTGGTTTAGAATATAACTGTGTAACATACAACCCATATACAAATTTCCCAAGTTGTCTCGATAATGTCTTTTATAGCCCCCCCCCTTTTTTTTTGTTCCAACATTCAGTTAAGGATTATGCATTGCATATAGGTGTCAAGTCTTTTAGTCTCTTTTAATCTAGAAGAATTCCCTCTCCTTTTTTTCTCTTTATTCCTTTTATGGCAATGACATTTTGCAAATCCAGACCAGTTTACAGAGGTTTCTTAATTTGAATTTGTCTGATTATTTCCTCATGATTAGATTCAGATTAAACATTTTTTAGCAGAAAGCAAGAAGCACAAGAAATGCATTTGCTCCATTATCATGATGTTAAAATAAATCATATTATTAAGATATTGTCCACCATAATTCTCCATTATAAGGGTACCTTTCCTCTTTTGTAATTAATGAGAAATCTGTGGAATGCCACTTGCAGACTGCATGAATATCCTGTTTCCCAACCATCTTTTATCAAATGGTTTTAACATCCATTGACGATTTTTGCCTGAATTAGTTATTACCATGGTGGTTTAAGAAATGGTGATTTAATGATATCTTTCCTTCTACATTTATTAGATGGTGTTTGACCGTAAATAAGGGCTTTTCATTATCCCTTCTCCCATGTTGATTTTTTTAAAATTAAATATCAATATGGACTAAAGCTTCTTTAGTGGTTTTATAGCAGATTAATTAGCAAATCATTACCAGTCATCCTTAAAAATATTTTTTTTCCTCCCATATTTTCTCTTATTTGCTGTGTCATTAACTAATGAAAGCTAACTTCAGGATTTAAAACTAGCATATCAGCTTACCAATCACTTATAGTTCATAGTACCTAATTTATTGCTCATTTATATACTGTCTGGTATATAGTTTACTGAAAAGTTTTGTGCATACTAGTGTTTTTTTCTCTACCCCTGTATTCATACATCTCTGGGATTTGAACCATGCTCCTGTAAATCTTTTTCATCCTATACAGCATTTACACAGTGTTAGGTATGTATATAGCAGGTGCTCTGGAAATTATTAATTTATTCAATTAACTACTTCAGTTTGTCTTGACTGTCCATAAAGTATAACTCCTAAATAAAAATTTAAAAATTTACTGCATTTTAAGGAATTCCTAACATTTTAACTGTAGTTTTTATTGTCAATCCTCTGGTCTTTGTTTTGTATGTCCAGTCTGGAACAAAAACTTTTCTAAAACTAATTTTTAAATTATAGAAGTAATAGATACGATTAAAAAAAATTCAAACAGTGTAGAAAGGTACAAAATGAAAAGTAAATGTCTCCTTCTTCCTACAACCTTTTGACATTTAAATGCTAGCATGATTTAGAAATCTAACTCTATGGAAAATTCTTTTGTAAAGTGTTCATTTTGGACTGCCCATTCATTACACTCAGATTTATTTGTTTTTTTTAATTTGGATTATCATATAGTTATGTTTTCTTAAAATGGGCATATATCTAATTTCTGTTTTAAAATGAAATGCACAAGTGTGATTGAACTGTTTGGCGTCTCTTATTGTTTCAGTTAGCAAAGCGTGGAATGAAAGTTCTCCTCATCAGCAGATCACAGGATAAACTGAACCAGGTTTCTAGTGAAATAAGTAAGTTCTCACATCACTGTCTCTGTCTTTCTCTCTTCCTCTCTCATGATTATAAAAGGAATCCAGATAATCTGAGTTTAATGGTTTTAAGTAGATATATAGCACTGACGTGTTGACTTATAGTTCAGAATGCTTCTTTTTCATGCTGCTAATAGGGTGTTTTAAAGATGGAGCATCAATTTTGTAAAATTAATTTAGTTCTATTGTAATTGTTTAAAAGTCTTTTAGTGACTCATTTAGTTTGTTACTGTCGGGAGTCAAATATCTGATTCTTTTATCATGTTCTACTTAAACATCTGAATTCCTTGTCTGTTGCTTCATTTCTGTATACTTGAATGTTTTTACTCTTTTGATTTCATTGTCTCTGAATGTCTAACAAGGAGCCCTGGTGGCACAATGTTTAGTGCTTGTCTGCTAACTGAAAGTTCGTCGGTTCAAACCTACCAGCCACTCTGCGGGAGAAAAGACCTGGCAGTCTGCTCCCATAAACACTGCAGCCTAGGAAACCCTATGGGGCAGCTCTTCTCTGTCCTGTAGTGTCGCTGTGAGTCGGAGTCGACTTGATGGCACACAACAACAACAATAACGAATGTCTAACACCTATGATTAAAGGAAAACACGAAAGGTAGTATGTTCACATGTGACAAGGGAACTATTTTGAACTGTGACCTGAATTATAATATGGCCAATACTCTTAACTGACATCTCTTTACCCAACCATCTAGATAAAGCAGTGCTGTCCATTTTGTTGGTAAAACACACTGACTGATACCCACTGTGTGCTAATTATTTGTGACCAATAAGCTTCTCAGTATAATTCTTGGGCACTTTTACTCCCACAGGTCCAATTGTTTACTTATTAAGAGTCAGTTGTATTTTTCCCAAACATGCTTATAGTAGGAGTATAAATAATTCTAATTATATAATTATTATAATAATTATAAATAATTCTGTAAACTGATGAAATATTAGTGTAAGAAGGAGACTTATTTCTACAAAAACTAAGTTGAATCCTCTGGAAAAAAAGTGAGAAAAGTGAGTTCTTTCAGAAATTGGCTGTCAAATTAGAAGTGAACGAGACAAATGTAAAATATTGGAGAAAATTATAAAACTTTAGAAGAAATTGATACTTTGACAGTTTCTTATGTGTTGAAGTTTTCACTGCACTTTAAAGGAACTGAAATTATACTCATAATGGTACATACATAACGCGGTTTATGTTAAAAAGACCTTGGAACTCTAATCAGCAGATCCACACTCAAAGACGAGGCCTTGCCCTACACAGAGGATTAGTGAATCAAGTAATTTATCCATGGTTTAAGTGAAAATAAAATGGTTAATGTGTATCATTTCCTGTGACTCCTTGCTTTCACTGACTTTTCTCGGTAACAAACTATCACAGTTCCTTCAGATGAGAGGAAATTTCTACTGTGGTTTTTTTTTTTTTATTTTATTTATATTGTTGTTGAGTCTACTGTGTTTTATTAGTAACGTTACCACTTACTACTAACAGCTATACAGTGCTTTATAGTCTTTCATTCCCTAACATGTATTATCTCCTTTGATCCTCCCAACATCCTTGTGAGGTGTATATTTTTGTTATTATTTCTCTCCAGACCAAAGCTGGTCCTACTGGTCAGATTATACATTGGCGTACTTCATCTTTAGGTGAAAAACAGATCTTCATTCGGTCGATTCCCAATATTAAATGTGTTAAATCTCTGCCCACCTCCCTTTTTTATATCCCAGCTGAGATCATAGATACTTACAAAGGTGAGCATGTGGTATTTAAGCATTTAACATTCAAGGTTGCAACTATTTAATGGCAACCCCAATGGTCCAAGGCATACAGGATTTTGTAATTTTGCTGAGGTGTTTATTTGAGTTAAGCTGTGATGCTAATGAACCTGAAGCCGTTACTTAGATAGTAGGAGAACTTAACATACTGCCTGGATCTTAGTACTGGTTTGTTCTTTGCTACTTGCAGTCATGTATATAATAACTCTTAAAGGGAAAAAAAAATGTGTGTGTGTGTAGAAATTGGTTCTTAATGAGAGCAACTACTAGTGCTAATGATGGAAGTAAAGATTCATAGTCAGAAAATGAAATCTTTTGATTAAATGGAATGTTGAATTTTGAAATGCCTTGTACCTATGATATGAATGAACCCACTGTCTACTCTATATGGTAACAAGGAAAGCTCTACCTCGTGGCATTCTTTCAGCATGCGCTCCAGCCTGTACAAAGATTGCTCAACAAGTCAGAAGATATACTTAATGATATTTGAGAATTTAATTAACTTGTGATATAAGGTGACATGTGACTGTGAGCAAAATCTGATTCTGGAGAAAGACAGGTTCCTGTTCAAACATTTTCATGAAGGAAGAGATAGTGAAGGCACTGAACTGACCTTTTAACATAAGGGAAGTGTTCCCCTCCTCCCCACCCACCCCGCTTGTTGAAAATTTTGTAAAGTGTTTTTCTGGGCATAGTACAAATTTAATGGGAGAGGTGACCATGTTGTCAGGCTCAAAGCTAGAGAAATACACAGAGATTTGTAGGTTAGGACAAGTTTTCAACTCAGATATAAACCATCTCTGGGTTTTCACAAACGTATCTATTCCAGGAGAAGGAAGGACCAGGATTTAAAGTTGACAAAGACAAACTCTGCATTTTTTTTGTTTATACCTTCAACACTTATTTATTGAATGCTTACTGTGTACCAGGTACTGGCAGTGAGGATACAGTACAATGTGAACAAGATAGATGTAAAATAGGTGTAGTGGTGGAGGGATTGTGTTTGCAAAGTTGCATGTGATAAATTTACCCCAATGCTTCAATTTCCTTCAGGCTTTGGATTCCTTTCTCTACAACATGCCAGGGAAGTACTGACCTCCCAATCTCATTAAAAGTAGGCCATCATGGAGTCGGAGCCCTGGTGGTGTAGTGGTTAAGAGCTCGGCTGCTAACCAGAAAAAAGAAGGTCAGCAGTTTGAATCCACCAGCCGCTCCCTGGAAACCCTATGGGGCAGTTCTACTCTGTCCTGTAAAGTCGCTCTGAGTCGGAATAGGTTTTGGCAGTGGGTTTTGGTTTATTGTGGAGTCCAAGTTTTAGCTAACCAAGTTAACTTTTAGAGCCCCTTGCAGCTGTATGAGCTAACCATTAAATCCTAAATCCCTGGTAAACAACTAAAATAAAAAATTTTGGCCTGATCCAGTGTTAATATTCTGTTTTCCCTAATCTAACATTCTTAGAATTCTTTCCCACTTCTATTCTCCAGGTTTCTATTAATGCAAATTAGCAAAATTTTGCAATCCTTTTGGTATACAAACTATTGCTTTCTGGATCAGACTTTGTACATGTTCCCCAAAGAAAACTGAGATCTAACCCCTAGTTCTGGGTTGCAGTAAGGGATGGTTGAATTGGGTCTTGAGGTGAAGAGGAATCCTCTTGCAAGAAAACTGTCCTACCAGTTATGGTGAAGTTGTTACAAGATTTTCAGACCAGCAGCAGATACAGGAGAGCGTGCTATTTTCTCAGTTTCATCTGAGTCCACCTAGATAGCCTCATTCCGACTCTCAGGGTCTCACTCCTCATTCTGTGTTTTCACTCTCACACATGAGACTTGATGAGGCTGTAGAATTCAACTTACATTCTAATTCTGCAACTGGCACAGTTAATCTGATGCTTAGTGAGGTGGGCTCTATGGCTATAACCAAAAAAACCAAACTCGTTTCGTCGAGTCAATTCTGGCTCATAGCGACCCTATAGGACAGAGTAGAGCTACCCCATAAGGTTTCCAAGGAGCGGCTGATGGATTTGAACTGCCAGCTGTTTGGTTAGCAGCCATAGCTCTTAACCACTGTACCACCAGGGCTCTTCTATGGCTATAAGAAATAAAAATTTCTTTTAGGGTGCTATACAAATTCTCTAGTTCTCTGATTGAAATGTCAGTTGAAAGTTTAAAGACCTAAGCTCTTCATTTTCTTTCTGTAAGTGTTCCAATGCATTCAGAAGAAACCATACCATGCCATATCATAGTTTTTACACTCATCATTTCTGCCAAAATCAAATGCAGCAGCCACTTGGCCCCCCAAGGCCCTTCTTCAATAGGTACTTCTTTACAATCCGCCACAGGTGTTAATTTGATTAATTGTGATGCTACTGCTTCAGGGATCACTAGCATCCCATTGCCCATTGGAAAAGAGCTTAGCAGTATGTTCAAGCCTATGGACACAATCAGACCAATATAAAAATCCTGTCTTAGAAGGTCTATTTCTTAGTGTCCTACCCTTGGTACCCATTTCTGTATCAGTCAGAGTCCAGTCAGGAAAGGAGTCACACAAATTAGTTTAGCTGGGCTAACTTGTTACTTCAAGTCCAGCTCTTAAACTCACCCCAGCAGGTTAAACTCATCCCTCCTACTTCCCTGTTTGATTGAAAGAAGAAAAGAGGAAAGGAGGAGAATGAAGATGAGGCTAGTTGCTAATTTAAGGCAAGTTAAGGGGACCTCTTCTTGGCTTCTTTCACCTTCTAACTCTCCATTGTCATAAACTTGGGATTCTATGCCTTTGGAAGTAATTCCTTGTGAATGCATAGGACACCTACTCATCAAAGCCAAAGTTCTTCAGAAAAAAAATTTGAAAGGATTATATATAATTTAGTTGAGAGCTAAATGTTTCACCAGTAATGGTAAGTACTTTGTGAGGATCGACTGCTTTGATAAAATTACAGTTCTTTGTAAAGATACCTGTCACCCATTGAAATAAGACAAGCTCAAAGTCATCACATATATAATCAGCTTATTCTATTAGGGTTGTTAGCCAGGATTATTCATCTATTGAGTATTTTTGCTAATTTTGATTTGTCAAAGAAAAAACTTCCTAGATAATGTTTGAACACTGAACTGAGTTTTTACTTGCAATGAAGCATAGTGCAAAGGAGGCTAGCTTTCAGAAAAACCTACTGGCTCATAGCTTATAGAGATGGTGATATTTAC